GTGATAGAAAATGATGGTATGTGCTCTTTGTAACAATTTTTCTAAGAACAATTGGCCCAGTATACAGCAAAAATTGTCGAAACTCTGTGGCTTTCCATCTGTCAAGTTCTACCAGTGGTCTCGGTTGTCGCACAAATTCAGACGGAAGCTGTCCAGAAAAAGACGAAAGTGCATTGGAAATTTCATAAATCAGATTTTGTGAAAGTCTGCATTCAGGAGGACCTTTTCGGAGAAACCACAGCATTCTCTTCACCACTCCAAGGCAAACCAAATGCATGTAGTCTAAACAAAAACCTGTTACACATTTCATACCAGATGCTGAAAGAGGAGATACTCCAATCTGGTGGTCATTGTATGCTCCAGACGAAAATTCCTCATCTGATCGAAGTAGAAAATCACCATGAAAAGTAATTCTGTTATTTTTCCAAGTGCCTTTAACTATACACCTTTCATATGCATAATATCCAGTGTGTCCTTTGATGCATTTTAGAAATGCTCTGGCAGGGGCATCACAAACAAAGGTTTTTATGTCAACAAAGAATGTTTTATCCTCAAACACCAATCCGTTTTGTTTAAGTTCCCTAAATTCATCCAAAAAAATCTCGCAAGAAATCATCCAGTGAAATTGGCTTGCTCTCTCCTAAGTACAGGGCTACTAAAAATGGACTGCAATTACCAAAACTACATATGATTGGCCAGAATTGTGTTCCAGAAGATTTAAACAAAGGGATTCCATCAATGTTAACAAGCAATTGTATGGTGCATTGGACTCTTTCCAGTCTGAAATTTGAGATAGTATCTTGCTTATTCCGTTTTCAATTCCAATATATGTGTATTTCCCACCACATTTCTCCTCCACCTGAACCACCCTTGGTGTTTGCAAAAGTGTTCTCGCATCTTTTGGAAGCCTGTGACCTTCATTTCTCAGAATCGCCAATATTTCATTGATTCCACTTCGTGTACAATGATTTCTTGTTGCCCATACTGCCATCTTTTCATGCAAAGTTTGTTGATTATCATCAGCTTTTGCTTCTCCATCTGTTAATAATGTACAGTCATCATCAGAGTCTGAAGAAATAATTTGTCCTTGAAATCCGAAATCAGACTCAGTATCACTACTGTTACTTGATTCGTTAACTCCTACATCAGGTGTAGAAGATCTTGAAGATATTGCACCCACTAATTGTTCATTTCCGCCTTCCTCATCACCGCTGCCTGATCTCTCTTGTGTTAATGATACGGCCAGTGAATGATTCTGTCGCCAACGACTCAAATAGGACATCTTGTGGGCATGCGTGATCTGAAATGAATTCATTGAAATTCAACATGCATGCATTGTTATGACAATGAAAGTAGATGCATTCTAGCTAAATTGCAATTTTATACATCAAGAAATAATTAATAATTGTAAATTGTTCCAGAGCCTATTTATTTCTTGATCTGTCATCAATAAAATACAACTTTTTAAACCTAACATGTTTTTACTATTTTATCAAGAACTGGCGACAATATGGATTTTAAAGTACCTTCCTCTCGGTTGGAGGCTATTTGATTAACACTGGCGGGTGTGACTGCCATACTTGTTTACTTTTGAAAAATGTAATTGGAAGATTAATATCGCTCCAAAACGTCTGTTCAACATTTATTTTGTTAAAATTGACTGTCCAAATTAAAGTGCTCGGTACATCCAGATTTAAAATAAAATCAGGTTCCGGGTTGTTTCGCCTGAAATCCTGTTCTCCCTAAAACAAAATTTTAGGGCGAAACATTGTTTGGTATTTCCTTTCAATTTTAGAAGTTTAAGTCACAAATTAAGTCTTCTTAGTCTTCCATATCATTTAAATCAATTTTATAAAAAAAAGAATCGAGTTTGACAAACTGCAGCTGTGAAAAGCTGACTCGATCCGAACTCACATATTTTTCTACATGAAATAAACCGAACACTAATATAAAAAGTTATCAATAAGTTTAGTTGATATATTTAAATTTAATTATTATATCAGCGTATAAATTAAACCAAAAACAATAGGGTGAAACAACCTAGGCCAGGGCGAAGAGGATTTAGGGCGAAACAACCCATTTACCTTCTGTTTTCTGTTGGAAATTTACATTTAAGTATAAGAAAAGCAGCACATGTACATGCAAATTACAAAAATTAATAAAAAACATTAAATATTTAGTTACACCTATTTCTCTACTGTTACACGTTTGTCTATAATATCACCTGTTATCACTAATACCCGTATGACTACTATTACCCGTACATATACACATTTCAGACATTTGTAACGAACCTGTGCTCCGTCGCAAGATCTCTCACTTCAAACGCTATCAGTTTCACGCGTCTCGAATCCACGGTTCCTCAGTTTATGACGACATGTCAAATAACGAGTCTGTTATAGAATCTACCGACTGTTTTCAGATTCCCATACAATCAACAAATAAATTCACGCCTGGATTCTTCACAAAATGAGCAAAGAGAAAAGTTCGAATTAACTTCCAAAAATGACTCCCTCGTGGAGGGCAAGGTCGGATTTACGGTGTTCAATGTATTTATCCATGCGCGAAATTTGTTACGGGGGAAAATCGAAACAATTTCAAATCCGACTTTCAGCTCAGAGTTCTATTGATAAACTTAAATCACCCTATAGACATATCATACGCAAATGTATTGATACTGAATTGTGGAATAAAATTGAAGTGTTTGTTAAAATTTCAAAGTACTACTTTGTTTGCCAATCAGCACGCGACAATACGCTGTTCAAACTGTTGAACGAAATTGTGTGGACTGTCGATAAGGCGGGCATTTTTAATTTTAAATATAAATTATAAGTTAAAAAAGAACATAAGAGGCAGAGAAAACGTAAATATAAGTATTGAACTGTTTGGTATTTATGATCTATTTGAATGACACAGCTAGCGCGCATTATGTTGTTTGCTTGCAAAGCTGTGTCATTCAAATAGATCATAAATACCATACAAAAACAGTTCAATGCTTAAATGTATGTCTATAATATGCCTCATGTGTCTTTAAAATAATATTGTGAGGGCTTTTTCCGTGAAACATGCTCAGTATTGGACTGGCCCTATGTTAGGCTGGCCCAATATTTATTGGACAATTTTTCGAATTTAAGTCTAAAATCGTTCCTTTTTTGTTTTCGAAGTGCCAGAGCATATTTACAGAACTTTTATGCCGCCTTTTATCAAGGCATTTTCTAAATTATTCACATGCAAACGGACAACAACGATACCCCAAGTAAAAAATGGCACTTGACACCTTTTCGAATTTCTGTCTGTGCCAAAGCATATTTTTTTTATATAACTCTCTTACAGCTCTTTAGAACATACTCTACAACAGTTCATCGTGTTAGATTTTCAAATGCAAATTGAAAAAAAAGTAACCCCATCCTAAAGATGTTTACTGGGCACTTTTTCGAATTATAAATACGGTCTGGCACGTTGAAAAAAAAAGGAATGATTTTCGACTGAAGTTCGAAAAAGTGTCCTATGGGCATATTGAACCTAGGGCATCGTTGATGCCCTTTTTGCATGTGAATGTCATAGGCAATGACCCGCTGTAGTATATGTGTTAAGAAGTGGCATAAGAGTTCTATTTATATGCATTGGCACATTGTAAAGCACGTTTTGGACTGAAATTCGAAAAAGTGCCCAGTTTGCATCTTCAGCCTGCGGTAAAGTTGATGTCTCTTTGGGTGTAAATACCTTAGACGATGACCTGCTGTAGAATATGTGTTACATGTAGATAACGGCATAAAACAAATATAAGAACGTGGCTCTGAGCCCGATCGAAGCTCTTTAATTGTAACACATGCTTGCGTTAAGAGATACTTCACTTCCTATTACATCGTCGAATTTTGACGAATTTTATAAATATAAAACAGTGCCAAACTTGCCAGGATCTCCCCTATTTGTCGTGTCGATTTGTCTTTTGAGCTTGCGTTTAATATTATTAACCGACTAACCGACTTTAGATAAAGCTTATCTTTTCTTATTCTGAATCAGCAAATATCAGATATTAACAAACACTTCTCCCTTTTGAAGCTTTGCCATATCATATTAATTATTAATGATTCATTTGAATATCAAATCAGCCCACTATTTGCCAGCCAAACATTGAGCCAGTCCAATATAGAGCTAGCCGAATATTAAATACGTAACGAACTTCACGCTCGTCTAACAATGTCGTTAAAACCACCGAAATTCACAGATTTTTTATATATGACAAAATAAATATATAAATGTTGAAATTGCCCTGATTAGATATGTCAACATGTATATGTATATAGGATGGACATGCTCAGAGGCTCTTAATGTGGTTGGCACAGAAAACAAGTAGTTGGGCAGTTGATCCCGTACTTTTTTACGTCCTTTCGGGTAAAAAAATCGTGTCATCTTGTTGAAAGATGAATTGATTTTCACTACGCCACCCGACCACCCATATGATTATTATCAAATGTTTTAAACATCACAAAACAGAACCGTTTGTTTATATGCCAATTGTAATAAAAATCGCGTACGCAGGACTTTTTATCTCGTACGTACGACATGATTTTTTTTCATTCCTATTATTCTCTTTATTGCCTCCAAAGATGAAGATTACAAAGTAATGTGAAACATATATACAAAGTATTTGGTACATATATACACGAATACATAATATGCATTACATAAATATACACTTTATATACACTGCAGTATCGAGGATAGCCCATTGTCTTACGTAAATTATCTAATATTTTCAGACTTTTCATATCTTTTATTTTCTTACTGCAATGCTACTATATATATATATATATATTTATGCTGTTGACAAAGAGTTAATTGTGGTATTCGCCAGGACGGTTTTTATCAACATTGAATAACAGGTCAGAGAAAAATATTAAATTATGAAGTATTTGTAGAATATCCTTGTCATTCGTACCCAGACATTAAATTATTATTTATCAGATATTTTCATATTCATATTAATTTTATTTCAGTTGATCCGACTACCTGTGGACAATATTCAGTATATGGCAGATATGAAGGTAAATGTGTCGGTAAGTTTATAAAATCTTTATCAATGGAAAGCGAAAAAGTCTCCAACTAGTGGAGTGTTCAGTAAAACATTGGTTTAATTATGCTTAAACGCAAACCAAATGTGACCATTATTTGCCATACTTCGTTTACACATACCTTAAACTTTGTATCAAATGTATTTTAACTGTTTTGTGTATGCTTTAACATTCACATGCAATGTATCATGAAAGGGTCAAATCAATTGTTCAGGATGGCTTGGTATGTCTTTATATTAACAAGTATCCACTGTAAAATAAATTAAGCAATTCCTTTTCTACTGGTTGTATCTTATCCTTTGAAGAGGAGTAGTAAGGCAAACAAAGCACTATAAATCATGTTAAGTAGTGTAGGTATATTGTATTTTATGTACACGATGCGTGATATACTGTTGCAATAGTGTCGGTATACTAATAGATACGGCATATTGTATTACATGTACACGAAACACTAGATATTGATGAAGTAGTGACGGTATACTAAAATATACGGTATACTTTAGTACATGTACTCGATACAGGAGATGTTGATGAAGTAGTGATGGTATACTGATAGATATGGTAAAATGTATAACATGTACACGATACATGAGATATTGTTGTAGAAGTGACGATATACTGATAGATACTCTATATTGTATTTCATGTACACGATGCACGAGATATTGCTGAAGTAGTGACACTGATAGATACGGGATGGTGTACTACATGTACACGATACATGAGATATTGTTGAAGAAGTGATGGTATACAGATAGATACGGTATATTGTATTACATGTACACGGTACACGAGACATTAATGAAGTTGTGATGATATACCAATAGATACGGTATATTGTACTACATGTACAAGATACACGATATATTGTTGAAGTAGCGACGGTATACTGATATATACGGTATACTGTTTTACATGTACACGATACACGATATATTGTTGAAGTAGTGACGGTTTATAGAGAGATACGGTATATTGTATAACATGTACACGATACACGATATAGTGTTGAATTAGCGACTTTATACTGATAAATATTGTATTACCTGTACACGATACACGATATATCATTGAAGTGGTTGCGCTATACTGATATACACAGTATATTGTATAACATTTACACGATACACGTTAAATGTTGTAGTGGTGTCGTTCATTCGATTTAAGGCTTTGGTAAAAATGTTAAAAATAGAAATTACAAAGATACATGATATTTTTTCACAATCTTTCACAGATACAAACTTCGTAGCATGTTGTTTTCATAAGTCACTTAATGTGACGGCTTTGGTCAATTCCATTAAAGATTACTATTAGGTTCAGAAATATATTGCTCGTGGTAAACGGGAACAATGTCTTAGAAGATTTACTTCTGAATGGGAAAAATGGTTAAAATGGTTAAAATTAGTAGAGCTTGACCACACCTAACCCCCTTTCTTTGTGTGTTATACATTGTCTTCTGCAGGTCTCTATTCAATTTAGAATAAGTAGCAATGACTGCTGATGCAGGTATACATGAACAATGCAAGTCAGATTTGTGTTTTTTGAACGATGCAGGCTAAGTCAACTTATTACTATCTTTCTTTGATAGTTACATACATGACCAAATGTACTTTAGAACAAATATTGACAAAGGCTCACAGCAGTTATTTATATTATTTATTTTCTACTCAAATTTGGCAGTCTGATCTCTCTCTCTCTCTCTCTCTCTCTCTCTCTCTCTCTCTCTCTCTCTCNTCTCTCTCTCTCTCTCTCTCTCTCTCTCTCTTTCTCTCTCTCCTAGTGTTCTTTGTTCATTTGTTTTGTCTCTCTATGTGTGAAAGTGCGTGATAATTTAATGTGTCTTTGTGATTGTATAAAATCATCATCAGATGATGAGGATAAGGATGAGGATGATGAGGATATGTGTGAATGTGCGGATGTGTGTTGATGTGATGTTCTGTATAATGAACATGTTCTGAAAAATAAACAAATTAAATTAAAAAACAAAATAAAAAACGCTTAGTAGCATGACACTATTATCATCATACTTGTTAAAATAACTGCAATTTACCATTCACATTTGCGATAATTTTGTTCAATATATGTGTTTACCTGTATCAGATATTAAACAAATGTTCTTTCTTTCTACTTCTTATAACTTTCTATTTCCTAACGCCTTTCTTGGCAACACGTCGCTTTTTGCTTTAATGTTGAACGTTTGCCCAGATGAGGAAGGCAATGGATTATGTGCCCTGGCCGGGCCATACCAAAGCCTTTAAAATGGTAGTTGTTATTCCCTGACTAACGTTCAGCATTTAGGGTAATGACAACACCTGGTGCACCCGTTGTCAGTATAATGCGAACAGGCGGAATGCTGTGATGGGTGCCTTCGGCATGGTATTTTAGTGAGATAGCACTATAAAGTCGACATCAGATCCGCGCTTTCACAAGGAGGCAAATGAACCAGCATACCCTGTCTCCGACAAACATGAACGCATACACAACACACATGGAGGCACGTCCTTAAAGGCCATAGCTGTTGATTCAATCAAACTATAAAAATTATATGAAGTATGGTCTATGTATATATTTAGTCCAATGAATCAGCACATTTGCAGTTACTTATAAATGATAGTACATCTCACTGAACGAATTGTGATCTAATATACATATGAATATTTGTATAATGAGATTGTACCTTTTCTAGACTTTAAGTGGTGTTTGTACCAGTTCTACACCGACCCAAGATCGTGGTCAGATGCAAGAGCGATCTGTGGACAAAATAACAAGACGTTGGCCCATATTACTGATCTGTCGCAGCATGTCTTCCTGACGTCACTGATCCAAACCAGTTTACCTGCAATCTACTTTAGCCCGCCCAGGTTTGTCTTTGCCAACTTAGCCTGGTGTTTCTGCCAGAGACCGAGGAACATGTCGATCAACATGGTAGCCTTTTTGTACATTCGGGATTTTGATTTTGCCGTTTGTAACCGGCATTAGGTGGCATGTGCCCTGCGTTTAACATGTATTCTTTGGAGCTCTTTGCGTCTCCAAGCTTTTTCAGGTTGAGAAGGAATATAGGAGGGCATGGGATCCTGATGTCTTCCATGTGTTTGGTGTTTCCCCGGTAGCTATTGACTTTTGCGTTTCGCCTTTGAGTAATAACGTGTGTTTTGATGCTTTGGTGTGGTTTTTTTTTCGTTACCTGAATAAGTGAAATGATACTCATATCTCATTATCACTTATATTGTAATCTAATTAACCTAGCCAAATATATTCCCAGCTGACGTAGTGCTGAGTGGTGAAATGGCTTGATCACTTGATAATTGTGAATAGATACAAAAAAGTTGTAAAATTCAAGAATCGTCCAAAAAATGTGTTGTACTCATGCAATAGTTCCTTATGGATCTACTTCTACATGTTGTTATGCGTTGGACTCCTCCATTACCTTGTGCTGTTTCGTTATATAAATACTACGTTCATTACATTATGACAGTGCCGTTGGTTTACCCTTTACTCGTTACTAGGGCGCTGGGAAGCTTTGTGAACCACCCTGCCACTGACCCAATGTTAACGCACGAATGCGACAGTGTACAATGAACAATTTGTTTCGACCAATTAGATTACAGGATTTATTACGCATCCAATGGTTGTATAAGTATGGCATAACAGGGTAGATAAGGAATATGGAGTTATGATTTTTGCATGTTTTTTCAGCTCCATGTGGATAGGATTGTACAAGACAAACGGGGGACAACCTGTATGGCAAGATGACTGCGCCACTCTAAGCGCAAACTTTGCTCCTGTAACTGCAACGTTGACAGACTCAGCCGAAATATGTTACATGCTAGACGGACAGGGAGGCACTTATCAAGGACACGACTGTGAACAGTCTCAACCGTTCCTATGTAAGGCAGCAACGTTGGGTAAGAACACTCCACGTTTAACTTTTAATCATAATACCGTTTTATATATTCCGTAAAACATGTATTTCTATCGACCAAGCTGGTCAGGCTTTTGTTTGGTTTGTTTGTGTTTTACGTCCTACTGATATATATTTTGTTTTAAAGACGTGTCAGGATTTGTTGATGGAGGAAAACCAGAAGGCCCAGGGAAAACCACCGCGGCTAGTTCTCACTAAATACTTACCAACGAAATCACTTATTCGGCAGTCAATTCAATTCCCGAAAAATGTATATATTATGCAATGCTTAAAGTTCACCTTAATATCATTGGATCTATAAATATAAGGACCAATATATCTCTATTTCATATACTGCCAAGCTTATTTTTGCTTTACAGTTTTAAATGTTCAAAGGTTTAAAAACAATATGCAATAAAGTGGAATTTTTAGCATACTGGTATATGTTTGCTTATAACACAAAACACATAATAAATGGTGAAGAAAGACTCACTCAAACCTTCCTTTTTTCGGCTTTTGTAAGAAGGGAAATACCGGGAATACTTTTGATCCGATGAATAAAAAAATGTCTAATTACAGACCGTGTTTGTTAGGTATTTAATCATCGAAAATATGAGTATTTTTCATTTGAAAGTAAAGGGGAGAGGAAAGTTACACCTTTTCTGAGCTAAATATATAAGTTTAAGAAATTCCATTTACATTGATAAGAAGAAAAAACAATTTTGTTCAATCGTGCAAACATTCATAGATTCCTGATAACACAATTGGAAGATATTGTATGAATTTGTTCTGCACATTGTCAACAAAGAAAGCAAATCACTAGAAATAATTTGTCTTGTTAAATAGGTTTCTTGCCAAATCATAGCACAAAAACAAATACACGGTCATACATATAAGATTTATTGAACAAAAAAAACAACATAGACTGTAAAATACAATCTAAAAACCTAACAATATAGCTTTGTTCTTCAATGATTAGTAGTAAAGGAGACAACTGCACTGATTCAAAATGCAAGACACCAAAGTGTTAAACTTGTAGCATAATTAATGCTGGATCTTGAATCAGAGTTAAAAATCGTTTTGAATGAACTTTAAAATGCAGTATGAACTCTAAATCATTTTTTTTAGTATATACTTCAGTCTGTCAAAAACGTTAAGATGTTTATATCGGTCAGACAGGATAGATTATGAGTTTGGTAAAATGATGACGTTACACAGACAACAATCAAGGAAACGTAATCTTAGAATTTTAAATGTGAACAAGCATTTTCATTCCTGTTCATAACACACCTGATCACACAATTGTAAGAGAAGCTAAGGGATCAATGTTTACAAAGTTGTTACAACCATCCTTCGATAGTTCCTGTTAATGCAAAATCTTTTTAAATTGTATGTTTTCTGATAATTTCTATATGGTGGTGGCGCCGTCGATGACATATGGATTCGGGGGTATTCGTGTGTTTCCGGTAACGTAGACTTGAGAACGTATCCCAATGGGGTCTAAAATGTGCCGAATCAGGCCACTTTCCAGTAGTTCCACCATTTACTTTTATTAATGAGTGATGTGGTGATTGAATTGGTCCGGGAATACTTCTTGTTACTACATGTATGCATGTATACACCTGTTATGGGAAAGGCAACTAGTAATAAGCGGAAAATCCCGAAATACTTCCGATTGATTGTTGTTGGTAACGTTTAAACAGTGTGTATTGTCTTAAACATAATATACGTCCGCTATATGGTACGTTGAATGATTGTACCTTCAAATGAGGATTCACCTCCATTTAGACGTATACAGTAGTATGAACAAAGTTGGCAACGGACCTATTCTATGATGCGTGTTAAAAATAACTGCAATGAAGTGTTTACATGCTACATACGACGAACAAATAGTAGAAGCGGTTTGCTACGATGGTTACTACGGTAGCCGCGGTTGCTTGAGTAATATAGTTCCCGATAATCTTCATCGATTGATGAGGTTATTAAGAACATACACACAGAACAACACTGTAGCCCTTTGACCATGTCTATTCATTTATAACGGACATTACATTGACTTACTGCTATGTTAGTGAGGCTGTCAAGTGTTCCAGAAAGAAGCTGCCATTGCTTACTTTACCGTCGAAGATATTTGAATTTGCATCTATGTAATAAGAACTTTTGCAGTATTCGTTGTCGTATAATTAGACATAACGGATCCCGCGTATGTGCCACGTACATGTAACTAGATGTTGAAGAAATCGAGCAATAGCTGTAATCGGGCTGTTATCTCGCTGAAGCGTGAACGCTGCCATATTTGTAACTAGTATAAATCCGCCGAATCTGCTTTGACTGCGTACACGCTAATTTATACGCAATAAGAGTTTACTTCGTTCAGAAGGGAGATATGTAAATATAAAAGCATTCTCCTTAAGAGCTGTGTAGCAGCGAAAGTCCTCGAGGATCGGTTTTCTTCTGATTAAAAAATATGTTTCGTTTTCCGGTCACTTTGACTTCAATCCATTTTTGGTATATTTTCTTTCGCAATAACTTGTTTATTTATTTCTTACTGCACACACACACACACACACACACACACACACACACACATATATATATATATATATATATATAAACCATTTTTTCCATATTCTACTTTGCCATGAGTCCTTTTTCCAAAACTACATATACAAAAAACTATTATAGAAAATGTCAACCTCTCGGAGGAGTACATAATTACAATTCGCTTGGTATTGAAATGGTGCGCTATAGCAGTAAACGTTGAGCACACCTTTAATTAGTGTAATTAAACTGTTAAAAAGTAGCCATTTAATCCAACTTACAGATATCAGCACATGCTATGAAAGTGTTTCAACAATTTACAATGGCAGTGTACGTCCAACCTCTTATTTCGGTGCGGCATGGAGTGAATGTGTCGCTTTATTTGGAAATGACAAAAAAGTTGTGGGATTCCGGTACAACTCCCCATTTTGCACCTATATGACTTATAGAGCACACCATACCTACACAAAGGGCACTTCTAGATATGCAAAAGGTAAGTACGGGTACAAAGCATTAGTTACAGTATACATTTTTACAAGAAACCATTTTGATATATTGTCTGCTCAGCTATTTCCAACAGAATCTCAAATAGGTTTTTTCCCCTTGTACTCATCAAGTCAAGTCTCACTGAAAATATCAACTACCGCTTAATCTCTATTGTTAGTTCCTTTGAAACGTTTTAAATAATCCTTTAATCATTTATTTTGTTTTTAGCTCTTGTACCACTGTGTATTTAAAGTTTGGCTCGTACAATTATGTGGAATAATCTAAAAGATGTTGCAATTCCGTTAAATTGGCAGATTATACAATAATACGTATTTTCCAACAACATAGTGAATATAATATTCATAATGATACCTATCCCACTGCAGGAAAAAGACTAGAGGATCCCGCTGTAGTTTATCGTTAATACTGTAGCATCCCACTTTATTTTGAAAGGACGTATATATGTTGTGCAATTAGGCTACTGTTGGCCGGATACTTCATTTGTTTAGAGCGACATGTAACCAATCTCATGCCAAGGATTCACATTCTACCCTTGTCCCGCTGCAAATTTAAACAATGAGCACTGTCGTTGTTTACATTTTGTTAATAAATGTATCATCTTAATTGTTGTCCTTTTTTTAGAAAAGTACCGCGAAGTATGGTGTTCTTGTCATTATTGATTTAACAAATCTTAATCATGACAAAACAAATTGTTTCTTGTGCATAATAACAGTTTTAAGCAACGTTACGTTTATCCTTATATGGTTGTGCTTTCCTTGTTTCGGATATCGACGTCTTGAACATTTTGCTCAAGTTTTCTTCGTGGTAGTTTTTGTTCGGTCATTCGAATTTTGACCACATATTTAGAGTTGTAATGTAATCTGTCGAGGTTTTTTTTACACGATTTATGGGATTGCCTTAAGCATAATTACGAATTTCAATGGTTTGTATACCATTCTATTTACCAACTATATATGTGGTAATGTGTGATTGCTTCTAATGGTTGTTTCATTGTATTGTCTTTTAGCCATGTTAAAGACAGAAGTGGTAACTCTCACAGAACCTGTGAGCTATATAACCAGTGAAAGCCAAAGTGTGTACTCCACTAGTCCAGTGGAACTACCAACGATAGAAATGACACTGGCTCCAGATTCGGTTCCTACTCACACGTGGCTGAAGACTTCCCAAACGTATTCAAGTGTATCAGTTACAGGAACAGTATCGATTGTAACTAATACAGGTAAGTACATTTATAACTAAAATCACGTCAATCTCAACCGTCTGGTCCGGTGATATAGTCAGAAGACCAGTTCAATTCATCAATCAGGTTTGCTGAATCATGTAGTGTCCCTGTCCGCTACCAGGTTTAGTGAGCTAGGTAGTATGCGTAAGGTCCAGTTCCGGTAGCTGTCAGATGTAGTGAGACAGGTAGTATGCGTAAGGTCCAGTTCCGGTAGCTCTCAGATGTAGTGAGATAGGTAGTATGCGTAAGGTCCAGTTACGGTAGCTGTTAGATGTAGGGAGATAGGTAGTATGCCCAAGTTCCAGTCTCTTTCGTCTGTCAGATGTAGTGAGATAGGTAGTATGCCTAAGGTCCTGTCGGCTGTCAAGTCTAATAAGTAACGAGAAGTGTGCCTTAGGTCAAGTCCTGTTAGCCGTCAAGTGAAGTGAGTAAGGTAGTATAACTAAGGTCAAGTTCCGTCAGGTGTACCGGGTCAGTCACTGTGAGCTGTCAGGTAAATTGAGTTAAATAACAGTTGTCAGGTTTAGTGAGTTAGATACTATGCCTAAGGTCCAGTCCCTATCAGCGGTCATGTTTTGTAAGTTATTTAATATACCTAAGGTCAAGTCACTATCAGATGTCAGGTTAAGGTAGTTGGGTAGTACGCCTAAGGTCCTGTCATTATGAACTTTAAGGTGTAGCGAGTTAGGTAGTATGCCCAAGGTCCAGTCCCTGTTAGCTGTCATGTTTATAAGTTAGGAAATATACCTAAGATCCAGACCCTGTTAGCTGTCAGGTTTAGTGATGTTAGTAGTATGCCTAAGGTTCAGTCCCTGTTAGCTGTCAGGTTAAGTGAGGTTAGTAGTATGCCTACGATCCAGTCCCTGTTAGCTGTCAGGTCTAGTGAGGTTAGTTGTATGCCTAAGGTCCAGTCCCTGTTAGCTGTCAGGTCTTGATTGTTAGGTAGTATGCCTAATGTCCAGACCATGTAAGCTGTCTGGTCTAGATAGTTAGATAGTATGCCCAAGGTCCAGTCCCTGTTAGCCGTCAGATTGTGTGAGTTATGTAGTGCGCCTAAGGTCCTGTCATTGTGAACTTTAAGTTGTAGTGAGTTAGGTAGTATGTCTAAGGTCCTGTCATTGTGAACTTTAAGGTGTAGTGAGTTAGGTAGTATGTCTTAGGTCCTGTCATTGTGAACTGTAATGTGTAGGGAGTTATGCCTAAGGTCCAGTCCCTGTTATCTGTCAGGTTTAGGTAGAATGCCTTAATTCCTGTTCCTATTAGATTTCAGATGTAGTGAGTTGTATCGACCACCTCCAGGGTTCCATCAGACCTTTGTTACCGCAGATATACGCATGCCATTGCAGTAGACAATGTGTTCTCAACCGCAACAAGACGGTACATCAATGTAACATTCAGAAGTGATACGGTGTCTAAAATACACACTTGACTCATCGTGAATTTGAAAATTTACTAAAATTTTCCAAAACGCCTTTAATTTTTGAAATTCATATTATTAAGATTTTTGCGCACTACCCTTTTTACATTAACAGTTGTGAGACAAGTCTTTAGTCTTTTGGCCCCTTACATCACTGATGCGTCCCAGGAGGACGAGCCGGTTGTATGGCGCAGTCAAATTCATCTTTTGGATACTGAATCAATTAAAAGTGTTAATGGTGCAACCACATGTGTTTGCTATTCGTTCACCCTATCATAACATTCCGATCACCTGGAAATCCACACCTATGCCGATCATAAAGACAAAATCAATGTCCTAAAGGAGGCTGGTCAACCTTTAAGAGATAACAACTCCTTGTGGAAGTCCACAATAGTTGGTTTTGAAAGAAGAATCGGAGGTGTCTTGGGCGATACGGACATCCTCAGATTTTCGTTATTGTGTGAAGAGATGAAACATCTCCTTTTGCTTTACTAGGAGATTGATATAAATAGTTTTCATACCGTGTGTTTATGTCTTTAGTGACTTTACTCTTGCTGTTGTTCTTCCGAGACTAACATGGTTAACTATTAATTTTGTCTTTCACCATTTTGAAAACAGTAATGATATCAATAATCCTATTATTTGAGAAGTTACTGTTTTATAGTGCAGACATTTGAAGTCATTGTACCGAAACTGTGATATTTCACATGTCATTTAGTTTTAGGAGCCGCATTGCAGAACATTTCTGACGATATTAAGCATATGGAGCCAACTAATATGAGTAACCTGACAATGTTCTGCAAACAACTACTTGATTACGTTTTGGTCCACCCTGATCATGAGTGCTCAGATCTCGTAAGACTTTATATTCTGTTTTGAGATATTGTAAGGTAAAACTCTGAAATTTTTCACCAGGGTTATTAGCCGTTTTGACTTTAAAAAATTCACCCAGTGTTCATTCTGTACTGTTTTACTATCTCATCTTAGATGTTTTTTAATTTAACTATAAGATGCATGTTAATTGACACCGCGATGAGAGTCCTACTGATATGTTCCAGAATAAAGAAGGCAAAAATTATATGAGGTTAAAAATATCCCGTTTAATAGCTTTGAATACAAAATTGCATCAGAGAACATTACATTTTACAGTATTTTACAATATTCTATTTGACCTTGATATATAATACGATATTGCATGTAACAGTGTGTAGTGTGTATTTTATTGAATTTCATTCATATTTAGATAATGAATTTATAATAATAGTTTGTCGAGAGGCGCTGTGGTAAGCTATCGAGCCTTTCACCAAGATGGCCGGGAATCGATATCCCGATCGGACGTGAAAAGGTATGGGGTCATTTGCCCGATCACGTGGGATTTTTCTCCGGGTACTCAGGTCCCTCCCAAATTATTACACACCACGCGCTAACATCCGGGCCAGCAAGAGTAATACAAATAAGTTGATAAGACTTGTTTCATAATTGCTGGAATTGATTTAAATTTAAATTTAATAGCTGTATTCAATAGAAGTAAATGAGAGCTTTGCTTAAAACAGTAAAATTCCCAAAATGCAGAATTCGATTATAGACAGGCTGATATTTTGTTTGTGTTGGTATCAAACTGTAAAGATATTGTTTTAAGTAACACATTTTGTGTTGTATCCTCGTGAACAATATATGTTTCATTCATGATACTTGCACTAACCACGGGAAGAAATTACCATACCATGTCAAGGTAGTGTCTCTAATTCTTCATTTGATCAGTACATTTGACAAATATTTGTGTCGATCACAATTACAAACATGCTTGTTAAGTATGATTAAAAAACAGAAAATCCATTAATGATATTTACAAAATTAAAGAACAAAATATGAACTTAACGGAATAAACATGCCACAAGGATGTCTTTAACAAGATTGTTGGGAACTATATTGCGTATCGTACGTCTAATCTGCACTACACACACTGTTTGAAAAAGCTATTTTAGATTTCACCTCTGACTTTGAAATCGGGATTACAGTTGAGCAAATTAAGTGATATGGTAAACAAACATCAGTGTGACTTCATGTTTGTATTCGCTGTCTTAACAGAACAGTTTACAATGATATCAAATAGAATTATGAATCTGACCTTAGCTGTTAATGGGGAGACAAACAAAATTTAACCAAACCAAAACTAAAATAAAAAACATTATATTTTATTTGATTCTGAAATTAGGCATGATCTATTTTATCGCATTTATTAATGCGTTCACGTACTTTCGTAGAAGGATGACTTTTGAATAATTTCAAATATTCGTGCTCCATTCATTTTCAATGCCTCTGTTTTGACCATGATAGAAAAAAAACTCTCTTTTAAAGAGGTTTTGTACAGAAATGAGCACAATGCCTTCAACACAAATGTTACAATATCCTTTATTTGGCACAGACTACGAATACATAAGTACACTTTGTCTAGTACACTATGCTAGATTCCAAAGTAAAATACATTTTTTTCTACTATTGATACTAAGCAATGGTTTAAAATCGATACTGTCAGGATATCCCCCAAAGTTAGCAAAAATCATTGTAGCGTTTTACAAATAAAATGCATGTACACTGTTCGTTCTCCCCGCTTGGAAATGTCAACGATAGAATATATATAAGCTTTATTCATTTTACACCATGTATGAATAAAAGTTGTTTCATCTGATATTAATTACTTTTGTTGGTCCGGATGTTAGAGTGTCTTTAAGTAGAAGGAAACTAGAGTACATGGAGAAAACCCACGTGATGAGTCCACACCTTTTCACGTCCGATCAGGTAATCAAACCCCGTTCGTTTTGGCAAAAGGTACGTCCGCGTGCTATTCATTGCGCCACCCAACAACCTTCAAGAATATAATCTTCTTTTTCAAACATAGATTGGGATAGTAAATGTCGAAAATCAAATAACAGAAAAGATGGAGTCATTACCAGCAGGTGACCTCGATATAAACACAACGGTTTCATGTAAGTATGAAGGCTAAACACGTGTACTATGAAAGTATTGTGGTAACTTATATAATTATTGTATGGATGCAGTACACTTTTTTTTGGAAAGATGGAAGCTATACACATATTTGTTGTGTCCATTGATATTGGGGCGTAGTAAATGTTTTTCAGCGGTTTGGAGCCGAGACAAGGGTCATTTGCACACTTTGTTTGACAAAAGAAGCAGACGTTTTCGAAAGCCCGAAATGTTTGACAAAATAAACATTTGATGTTGGTGTGGCTTTGAGGTAGAGCCAGTATTTAGTGATAGTATGACGTGGTACTTGTATTGATTGTAGAAAAAGGACATCAAAAGTGTTGATTGTAGATATGGGGATATAAAGAGTGTCGGTTTCAAACTTATGGTAAAAAGGGACATGTGTCAAATTTCTAGATAACGTATACTCAAACTAAGACCATGTTTGGAAAGATCAGACAAAAGCACGATATAGTATAAGAATACCTCAAATTGAACGATTCATGTAACACCTTCACGGCAAGTTTGTACAACAGTTATTATGTTCTTGGGTTGGTGTAATTTGCCTATGGCAAGATAGCCAGTCAGTCAAACGACGTTTTGACGCGTTTTAAAATGTAACGTCAAAATTTCATCATCTGAGTGTGACGTCATGAAAACCCAGGTCACTGAGTGCACCCAAGTGGTATAACCCAATCATGGGTGTTCCACATGAGACACACATACGCAGCAGTGGGATTATTTGGTCTCTATAACTGAGGGGTTATATATAAAAAAATTATGTTGTACCCTTCTTTAAAGCGTCATACATTGTGTTCATCGTGAGTTTGATTTGGAGCCAGTAACTAAAAAGCGTTGTGGAAAAGTAGTTTGTGGTTTCGATTTTCGTGCATCCATTTATATATGTAATGTTTGCTTCATTGGTTGGTAAAATAAATAAACATGTTTTTGTTTTCCTGATTTGCTCTTTTCAGTGTATCTTTCCATCTTGAACCACGTGTACAATTTCCAAACGAACATTGACTGTCGACGAAATAACCAAACGGTAGGCATTAAGATACAATAAAAATATATATTATTGGCAAATGGATTATCATCCTATTGCCACGAAGTTATGGTGTGGACAACGATATACGCCAGTGCGTTACGCGCAGGGGTAGATGTATACTTTCCCGAAAAAACATGTATCATATGTGCAACGATGGATAACGAAACAGATTGTGGTATTGTGTTATTAGTCAACACCTAAACTTAATTAAATTTCGTCTTTTCACATTTGATAGTTAAGTTTATAATGTAGTTTACTAACTTCCACTGGAATGATAAATAAGCCCTCGTTAGGGAGGGCGAAGAGGGAGAAAAATTGCCAGGTACACAGTACTTATTTAACACACTTAAAATGTTGTCAGTTTTAGAAAGGCATGGTATACTATTTACAAACAAAGGATTATATGTTAATTGATGTTATTTGCCATCTCGTTTACCGCCAAAATGTGTAATGTTCTTGTTTTCTTATTAATTCCTGCATACATTTTCGTTAATCTATTGCCAAACCCTATTAAAACACCATCATATCTCTTGGCAATTGAAGTAATTGAATGTTCCCTTTAATGAAGTAAGACCTTTTGTTTCAAATTGATCAAACCACAAAATGACAATACTTTTTTTTCTTTGAATGTGTTAATTAATTGATGAAGTTTGAGTAAAAATATACATTCATCGTAACGCATTATAATTAAACGGGTATAATGTCATAAATAAACAATCAGCGTTGATTGTCAATGATGATATCGCATTATCTTTAAATCAAATCAAGATGTAATAAAACAATTATGGTGTTACACAGCTATCATACTCTGTCTCCGGTACACATACACACATGCACGTATACACAACACACTTGGATGCATGTTCTAGGATGCCCTAATTTGTTAGTAGGAGGCTAAACCCTATAAATAAAACAAAACAACCCTTTCATACTGCATAGTTTACACATACCATGCGGAAAATAAACAAAATGTTTATTTCATTAACGAGACATCTACATGACATTTTGTTACTGTAGAGACACTTAAAGATGTATATTGTAATAACAAGAATATATATATATATATATTTGTTTTAGCCCGAGTTACTGGAACTTCAGGATAGTCTTATCAGATTGTCAAAACTTAATCTGAAACTACAGAATATCAGTAAAACGTTTGAACTCAACATGACATCCGTTTCAATAACGGTAGGAGACGGAGGAGCGTTACAAGAAGAGTATACAACAGCATATGGCAGGGTCATACTAGAAAACATCGAGATCTTGAGACAGAACCTTGCCAGTCAGAAAGTGATGATTATGGTAGGTAACAATGGAGAATTAATTGTAATTTATTGTTCTTTGTCAGTGCAATGAAAACCTGAAACAGAAATATATATCATATAGATATCATTTATTACGACGGACTTGCAAGAACACAGGACGAAGGGATGCATATTAAATGTTTGTGATACTGCAACGGTTTTATAGTGTTAATTAGAAT